TTTTTCTGTATATCTCAAGTCTGATTTTTAAGCCATCTCAACATGCCTATTTACTTCTTGTCTGGACATTAGCTATTTTATCTCCATCATATCATTTCACAAGCCTCCACTCTGCTCTTTGCTTGAGTAGGTAGCCTCTACAAACTTCATCTCCTGGGCTTGATTGCTCTCTGGCTTCCACATGGCTTCTGTTTTCTGTCAGTAGAATGAAAATTAGAGGAGGAATTATTTAGGGCATTCCTCCCCAGTTCTATGCTGGTTTTACTTCTCTATAAGACCACCAATTGTTTGTTGCTTTCTCAAGACTACAGTGCAACGCAAAATCCAATCACAGCTCCCCTCCGACCCTCTATCCCAGCCTGAGAGTGGTACTATCTTCCTGTTGCTATTAGGCCCTGAGTGTTTTATTATCTCTTGTTGGTCTCTTAATTTTGCCCACTCCTTTGTAAATAATGCCTCCAATAAAATATCATTAATTCATCTTTTTCAAGATGTCAAAAATAAAGTCTTCCCCATTTTAACTTGTTGTTCCCTTATTTGAACTCTTAAAATCTGAAAACCTAACTTTGATTCACTCTTCTACTTCTACTTTTAAGTATCTCTGGGTAATTTTAACACTTATGTTCATTCGTAACTTGAAGTACAAATTTCTTGTTCCAGCCAGAAATATATAAATTATTCTAGACTTTGCCTTTCTTGCTTTCATTGCTTATCCAACTCTCCACAAGTGACACTTATTTTATTTTCTAAATTTGTCTCAGAGCTTTCTATTTTTCTTTATCCTTGCCTGTTAATGCTTAATGGTGATATTTGCTGTAAACTTCAAATCTAATTTCAGAGAACTGGTATTTTCCTTGTGGCTAATCATTCATCCATACTTCTGCCAATACCTCCATTCATGTAAATTAAAGCTGCAGGATCAGTCGTTGTGTAAACCTACCTACAATCTGTAATATATCTCAGTGCAACTATGAGATTATTTTTAGGGATGGCAGAATTGTATTTACTTGTTTTGAATTATTTAACATAGAGAGTTCATCATGTCTAGAGCGCATTTTTTTTTCAGAACTTGGAGTGTTCCACATTGAGTAGCTTTGCAATGTCTACTCAGTTTTCAGCAAACAACCATGGTGGCATGAGTACTACACAAAGAGACAAAAACTTAGCAGTGTAAACCTGACTCTGACTTTTTGTAACCACGAATGCCTCAGGAATTTCACTGTGCCTATGTCCTCTTTTGTAAAACAGACTTCTTCATATTTCTGCTCATTAACAGCATTACTGTGAGGATCAATTAAAGACAATACAAAATAGAAAATTCACTAAAAACAAAAGCGCACAACCAGGGAAAATGGTGAAAGCTGTTGGCAGTTGAGAAGCCTGATCTCATTCTCCCCTCAGATCACCTTCATTGGCAGCTGACAGTTACTTTAACAAACAAATGCACCAATCAGTTTGCAATTGGGAAGAGAATAAAAACTGGGAGATTAGGAAATAAAGAAAAATAATGAGATGTCTAAATGGTAAATATCACACATTTGCAATTGTTAGAGTTTGTATTATGATGAAGAGATTAAGGTACTGCTTTTTTTACATTCTTTAGACAATAGATATGTGTTATCAGCAAACTAAAAAGCATTTATTGTCCAGGAATTAAAAATAGCATGCTAAACACCAATGCCCATGTGTTTCTGTCTTTATACATTATGAATCTATTTCAAATGTTAACGATTTGAGAAAAAAGAAAGGTTTTTTTCCACATATTTTCATTTTGTTAACAAAAGTTCTTCTTTTGTACAAATGCAGATGAATAAACTGTATTACTAAATATAACCATTTAAATGCATTAAATGGACCCCTTATACCTACTTAGTAAGTACAGTGAGATCTGCAGCAATGAAACCCAGTTATGAGTCCTAAGCTTCAGATTTGGCATGGATGGAAAGGTTAGGCTGGATGAATCCTTCTTTGCTTGATTACCTTAATATTTGCTGCTTAATACATAATATGTAAGCCTTTTACAATATACCTTACAATACATGATTTTGAAATGTATGAAAAGTACACTTTTATATATTGAAGCATTTTAGCCATGTTAGAGAATTTATTTATATTATTTAGCCATGTTAAAGAATTAATGTGCTGGATCTTGGCACTAGATTTACAGCAGGAAGCTGCTATATATGTGAGCAATTTTGACCTTTAAAAATGGCAGTTTCACATGACTCAATGTAATAAGAAGTGAAGAATCATTCTATCTTAAAACAGAGTGCAGCTACATGTAAATAACATTCTTGTTTACGCACTGGACAATGCCAGGGAAGGTAGTGGGGAGGGAATGGTCAAGTCAGCATCTTAGATTGAAGGATGTATTGAAAGTGTGCCCACTGGTTGCTGTAGCTGCTTCTTTGAGCAGTAATATATGTCAATTAATGCATTGGAGGATAGAATATAATTTAATATACATGGAAATAATCTTTTCTTTACAGTAAGTTTGCTATGATGACAACATTCACTATATTTTGTTAACGATTAAATACCATGTGAGTCACCATCATGACACATCTGCTTTAAACAGGTATCCATTTATGTTACCACTGGGAATTGTGAGGGGTTATACTGCTATTTTTGTGTAGTTTGTATCGTGTGCCTTGGTTAATGTTCAGTGAAGATCTGGATCCCATGGGGTGGTTGTGATGAAAGAGGTTTGTTGTTTTCCAGGTGAGTAATTTGATCATAAATTAGGGATCTTCATCTAACACAGTGCTTCAAAAGCAATTTTAATGTCCTGAAATTTAGACTTGGGGAGGTCATGTGGGCAGGGAATAGATTTTCATTCTGTCTTTATGCAATTCAGCAATGTAACATTGAACATCCTGCTACTCACTGCTGTCAAGAGGTTAATCAGTCCCCTCATTTATCCAGCCACTGACTTTCCAACTGTAAAGTGCATTCAATACTGTGGGTGCAAAAGGCAGAACCAGGAATGGGATAGAAATGTGTCCTTAAGAAGTGCTGGGATATAACTGCTAACCTCTAAGAAAATCCATGTGTGTCTATTAAGAGCTACATCTTTTTTTTTTTTTAGTCTCAGACCCTTCAACATCTCAGTGTTACACAAAGACAGAACTTAAACCTCTGTAATGGAAGAATAGAAGAGTCACACTACATTTTGGAAAATATAAAACCAAAAGAGAACTGTGTGCCCCACGCTGGTCTCTGCCTCCCTGTTAATTTGTTCTGAATGGTGCAGAATGCAGCTGCCATCTCTGACAGTGCACAGTTGTTAACAGGTGTGGCAACGTGAGCCTGGCTGCTAAGTTTAGCTCTGCAAGTGGGGATTTCACACTTTGCAGCCCCTTGGAGAGGAGAGCATTGGCAAATGACTGTGTATAAAAGTGGAAAGCACTTGGGAATCTCACCACCAATCTAGATTTAGATCAGAGTATAGGGGCCAATCTAAATTGGTTATAGACCATACAGAACTGCTTATCTGGGGGAAGCAGCATTAACTTAACATTCATTCATTTCCCTCACATCACTACTGGAGATCCTGAGGGAGCATTCTGTGAAATTTGATGCCTACCTTTGAGGTATAGCATGGACTGATTATTGTTTAGCAGGCACAATTTAACACAAATGTACCAGTTCTTCAGGTGCAAGCTTTCCAATTTCTAACTTGTAAACAGTACTCATCCTCTTCGGTTCTCTTTGAAAGTCAATTTCTAAAAGTCACATTTTGTCTCAACACTACTGACATACTAGGACTACTTTTTAAAATGGAAATTTTCAAAAATAATGTTTCTCTGATGAGCAAGTGAAACACCTGACTTTTGCCAGGGATTGGGAAAGGAAGAGCATTTCCTGGGGGAAGAAAAAAATGTGGCATTTGAGGACATTGAAGTCCATTACGATTTGTCGGAGGATGTGGTTGGGTCTTTTCCTCTCGTTTCTTTTATACTCTGATCTAAAAAGAGTCTGGTGGTAACCAAATAGTTCTCTGATAATTTTCAGCAAGAAAGTCTTGGGACTCAGAAAGTATGACTAATTGGTTCAAAGCCATGATCATTCAATGACAGAATATCAAGATTATTTCATTTACGCTTGAAAGTACAGTCACATCTTCTTTGCCTAAGCCACCTTTAAACGAAGCTCACAGTTGTGTGCAGCTAGGTCCTGGAGCGTGATGGCATGATGGGGAGGGAGGAAAAGGTGAGGAAGCTGCACATTTTGATCTCACTTTCCCTTGATTGGTGAGCAAGTCATCCTTTCAGATTTTAGTAATACATCTGCCAGGTTCTGAGCTTTTTAGAGTCCCATAATAGTAATAACACAGATATAATATACACATTGTGCCTGTCTAGGTTAGTTTGCTTTCCAGACACTACCTTCTACAAATTCACTCTTTACATCAAAACAGTTTCTTTAAAGAAACCTTGTCTTCCATTTGGGGCAAATTCATTGGCCCAAGATGATCAAATCATTACTCTTTTGGAAGGAGTTAGTGGTCCTTTTTGCTAACCTTTGACCTGACTTAGTATGTCAGCATAGGTGATTCTTAAAGCTGGAACTGCTAAATGGAAGTTTGTCCTTTTCTTGAAATCATCACCTCAAATTATCCTTTTTTTTTTTATTGTGAGAGCGTCCCAGTATCTCATATTTTATTTTTAAACAATAGTTGTGTAAGAATTTCTACGGTCTAAGGTTTGTTCAAGGTCCACGCTTTCTTTGGTTACTATGGTAACCTGCCCTCCCAACCAGCTGTCATTTACTGCATTTCTTTCTAAGAATGAGTCTTAAATTTCTTAGATAGCCCATGAGCAGAGCCAAGATGAATAACAGAAAGAATACAAAACAGCTTATTATCAAAGAAATAACTTTTTGATTACTGACATAGAAAGCTTCATGCAAAAAGAAAAAGTAGGGGGCAGCAGCTAGCTTTGTGGGAGAACAACCCCCAAGTGTCCACTGAGGTCCCCTCCAGCTGACTTCATCAGGCTCTATGGAGTCGGGATTCTGCTCTGCATCTCTACATCTGTGAACTGAGACACAGTTTCTGTGCTCTCAGTGGTGATGGGCGAGATGACATGTTTGAGTCGAAGGAGCATAGTGAAGAGCAGGATGAGGAGAATGGCCAGAAGGCTCAGGAATAAGCCCACATACATGTACAGGTTGGAATATCTGTCTGAAGTGCTGCCAACCTCTGTTGCCATAGTGGGAAAATGGGCTCGCACAGTGAGATTCCCATGGTACTTAAAATGTGCCTCCGTCATCACTCACGATTGGAGTTAGAACCTCTTTCGGTGGAATTCTTATTGTCTTTGAGGCATTCACAGTCACTTAGACTGTCTGGATCTACCAGAAGGGTCTAACAATCAGATGCAAATTGATTACTTTGAGTGCTAAGTCTGTAGTGCTGAAGCAAGAAAATAAAGATGTTCTAATTTGGCAATCAACCTCTCCTGCACAGCACCCTTCCAGCGAGGGTTTATCCAAACGCCTGAATCAATTTTTAAAAATGTCAATAAAGCTTTATTTTCCCCACACCTACTCTCGTACTGATTAAAGTAAATGCAGTGAAACCGCTTTATAATACTGGCATGGGAACAAGAATCTCTTAGAGTATTGTTTCAGACAATTTCGTTTCTGAGAGAGGAAGAGAAGGCTTTGCTTCCCCTGCAGCTCATCTACACACGTGGGCTAGTGATGTGGCTGTAATTGGCACCAGACATGCACAAGACCTTTATGTATGGCAGGCTCAGCATACCTGAGGTTACACCCCTCTTGTCTAGCTTTCTGAACCTTCCTAAAGATGGAGCCTGCAGGGTTCTTGCTCAGTTGCACAGTTTCAGTCGTTCAATCTAGAGAGTGTGAGTCCTCTATAGCTTTCTTGACTTTCCTCACGGTACGCCGGAGGGAGAGTGTTGGCAGACCTGGTAATTGTCAGATGGAGGAGGCCTTGGAGTTGCTGATGGAAGCCAGCCTAGGCTCGGAAGATTGACCTCTGAAGATTCTTCACCAGATTTATTTCCCTGAAAATCAGAAACAAAAACCAAAGAATCTAAGAAACCGAGATAGCAATTTATTTTGAGATTTTAAAAAATGAACTGATAACCGGCTAAATGGTCTGCCATAGCCAAACTAGTCTAAAATGATGTCTTGCCTTTTATAGCTTTGAATGTTATTTCCCTATGTGAAAAATCACTATCAAAAGGTAAAAGAAAAATTCAAGGCACTGCATAGCAGCTGATAATTAGACTAGAACAGAACGGTGCTTTCCAGATGAACTGATCATGAGCTTGATCTCACGTAGTGATTGATACACAGACCCTGGGCCCCAACTTAAGCTTTCAGGATTGTAATTTACATAGTAGGTGCATGGACACCAGTCTAGACAGACTGTAATGGTCTGGGATAAAACTAAGCATTGCTAGTGTTTGAAAAGCTTCTTCATATAATTCTAAAGTGAAGCCACTATTCTAACTTAATCAGGGAAGCTTAGTTCTGAAGGAAAGAAGGCCTACACCTTAGGATCTGTTTTCCAACCTTCAGATCCCAGTGTCTATTGTCACTTTAATGAGTCATGAGTCATGAAATGTTTAGGAATGCAAGATGCCTCCAATTTTGCTTTTGTTCTTTTTTGCAATTTTTCATTAGTATTTTATTTTGGTGATCTTTACATAGTTGATTAGGGTGCATAAGGGTCAAGGGCTACAGGAAAGTGGGTAAGACCATTGTTTCCATATTCTATTTTTTATGTTCTTTTTTTCCCTCATTTAGGTTTCTCACTTTTATCATTAGGTTTTTCTCATGAGCTGTGAGAACACTCATTTTGTCTCATTTGTAGACTAGAGGGACAGGAAAGGTCATGTCTATTAGTGAATAACAGAATCCTCCATGATTGCTAAAGACAGGACTTGTTTTTTTACTGACACATACATTCTAGTGTGTTCGTAGCATCAGCTATTTACAGTTGAAAACTTCTAAAATGATGTAGCTTGACTCCAAATATGAATTTAGAAAATGGGTGACGACAACATAATATACAAGCATTCCCCATCATAGTTATCTGTGCAGAGTATTGACAACAAAGCTTATTTTTGTCTCTTGGTAACACACCCAAGGAGAGTTAATAGAATTAGCTCCAGAAATTGCATTATTCTTCTTATGATTTTCAATTTCTCTCAATCCCTATTTGGGTGCATTTCAGCTTAAGTGCACCCATGTTACTGTACTTCCTGTAATCTGTGTTTCTCAGCCTACCTTCTTGCTGTCCCTAAATAGGAACCAGATAGGAACAGTTGGTTCACAAGAAACAAAAGCAAGGCAAGATAACCTCTTTCTATTATCTCCGGAATAGAGTTTAAGATGCCTTTTGGCTATACTTAAAGGTATGTCAGTGTTGATTTTTGGTAATCTTGGATTGAGTTGTAGGAATATGCACCAAACAGAAGATTTTTAAGTGATTCTTTGCACACCAAGGTTTAAGAGGGTTTTTAAAAATTTTTGAAGATTTTATTTTATTTTTATTGGCTTTCCTGGCTGGATTAGCACAGCTAAAGACTACACTAATGTGCGTTATTCATGTAGAGGGCCTATTTTTTTTAAAGATTTATTTTTATTATTATTTTTTTTATTGGAAAGGCGGATATACAGAGAGGAGAGACAGAGAGGAAGATCTTCCGTCTGATGATTCACTCCCCAAGTGAGCACAACGGCGGATACTATGCCGACCCGAAGCCAGGAGCCTCTTCCGGGTCTCCCACGCGGGTGCAGGGTCCCAAAGCTTTGGGCTGTCCTCGACTGCTTTCCCAGGCCACAGGCAGGGAGCTGGAAGGGAAGCGGGGCTGCTGGGATAGAACCGGTGCCCATATGGGATCCTAGCGGGCGTGCAAGGAGAGGACCTTAACCACTTGCGCCACCGCGCCGGGCCTGAGGGCCTATTTTTACAAAGTATTTAAGAGCCTTGTAGATTGAATGCAGTGATGCAAAAAGCCATGGCTAAGTTCTTGACCCAGGGTCTGTGAATGCAGCCTTCTTTAGAAATAAAATCTTTGCAGATGTAAAGTCAACATAAGGACAATAGGTTCCAGGATCCAATAACTTGTGTCCTTACAAGAAAAGAAGATAAAAGACACACAGGGAGAAGACAGTGGCAGAGACTGGAGGGATGCATTTACAAAGGAAGGAATGCCAGGGATTGGGAGCAAACACTAGGGCCTAGGAGAGGAAAGGAAGGATTTTTGTCTTGGCCAACTTTAAAGGGTGCATGACCCTGCTGTTGCGTGACTCCAGACATTTAGCTTCCAGACCTGGGAGAATAAATTTTTGTTGCTTCGAACACTCAGTTTGTGCACCTTTGTTATGGCAGCCCTAGGAAACAAATATACACAGAGCAATCACACTGAGGCCCCAGGGTTTTGGAACCCTTTGGGGCAGTGTTTCTCAGTGTGAGCCAAGGCAAAGTTCCTTCATCAAAATTACCACCAGGGAGTGCTTCTTTAAATGCAGATTCCTAGGCCCTTTTCTCTGCCTAGATCAGCTTCTCTGCTGGCTAGGGCTCTGTCACCTCCACAACAAGCTCCCCACTTAAAGTTTACAAGTGCCCATTTCAGGGACCATTTTCCAGTTTTTGCTGTACTTATTTCCACATTACCTATCAAGCTTTAGCACACCACACACACACACACACACACACACACACACACACACACCCTTGCTCCTTTCTCCAGAAGTTCTGCTCCAGTAGGTCGGTGGGGTGTGAATATCCATAACACCGAAAAATTCCCCAGGTGACTGTGTTATACAGCCAGGGCTGAGAAGTGGCAATTCCCAAACAGTACAACATTTCAAATGTGGTACACTGACAGTCCCGGGCAGCTCACACAGGGATGTCTTTTGATCTCAGCTATTCCCCCACTCCCCTCATGTGCCAAGATACTTCAAAAGGTCAATCAAGAAATTGAATTAGAATATAGGTTTATTTCGGTGCTCAAAGTATTTGAAATGTATGTATAGTTTCTTTATAACATGCATTACCTATGGACTGTTGAAGGCACCTGCCAAGCATGGATTCAACATGTTTTTGCACTAAAATTACTTTCTTTTTATTCCATTTTCCCTGGACTTTTTGCAGTATTCTCATATTGAATGTAATTCCTATATAGCCTGCCAGTCTGTGCAGCCTTCCTCCTCTTCATAACTTCTCTTCTCCTTAAGAATGGTGCCAGTTGGGCCCGGTGTGGTAGTCTAGTAGCGAAAGATCTTCCCTTGCATGTACTGGGATCCCATATGGGCACCGGTTCTAATCCTGGTGGCCCCACTACCCATCCATCTCCTTGCTTGTGGCCTGGGAAAGCAGTCGAGGACAGCCCAAAGCCTTGGGACCCTGCACCCACGTGGGAGACCTGGAAGAGGCTCTGGACTCCTGGCTTTGGATCAGTGCAGCTCTGGCTGTTGCACCGCTTGGGGAGTGAATCATCGGATGGCAGATCTTTGTCTCTCCTGCTCTCTATATCTAACTTTCCAATAAAAATAAGTAAATATAAAAAACAAAACTTTTATCCAAAAAAAAAAAAAATGGTACCAGCCCACAGATAAGAATCTAAAGTGTTTTCACCCCATATTAGTAGGTCTTCAAGAAATCACGGAAAATGCATGTTGTAGAAAAAACTAGGTACAAATTTTAAAAATTGCACCAAAATAAATGTATTTTTAATTCCATTTTCCATGAAATTGTCTCCTTTATATTTCCTAAATTACTTTTCATGTGCCCTCCCAAAGAGAAGTGGAAAGGCTCTGTAGTGTTAGAGTGTCTTTTATTCACCTTTCGATCACACTTTGATAAGTCACAACATTGTCAGCTTTGGTAAATTTAGGACTTCTTTCATTTGTTTACTTAATAATACAGTAGATAGCATTAACAAATTGTGAACACACAATTTCAAGACTAAGAAGAATTGAAATTCACATCTCATTTATTTATGCTCCTCCCTAATCTCCTTCTTTTACCTACTCTTCTCTAGAAGTAACCAATAACTCGAATTTTGTTAATTATCTTGCTTATACTTACACAACATATTCAAAACAATGTGTAAATTTTGTTTTGAATATTATTCAAAAAAGGAGTTAGGTTCTGTGTAATCTTCAACTTGTTCTCTTCATTCTACATTCTATTGTTTTATGATTTATTTGTGATCATGCTAATGATAAGAAAAAAGAAAAAAATGTTTGGGTGTCCTCCTGTTGCCTTTTAGACTCTGTATTGCCTTTG